TATATATATATATATATATATATATATATATATACCTTTGATCATTATTATAAAGCATTTTTATATATTTCGGACTAACACGTTTTCACGCATATGATAGATATGAAGGACACATATATTTAGTGTATATTGTAAAAAAAATGATCGTTGAATATAATTACTTAGTATACAAACCAATATTATTATTGTGTATGTTAGTGTTCTAAGGTAGAAGACAACTGTAACCAAATTACATACATAGAGAAAATAAAATTTCAAACTTTTTGTGGGACATATATATTTAATAATGTTTTTATGGTGAGTCCACGAAAACAAATATTCGGTATGATTTTTAAACATTTAACCTTAAGCTATATATTTAGTTTGCTACATAAACTTCCGGGTATTGTTGGAAATATTTAATCTTTGTTAGATAGACCAAGTTTTTTATGACTTAAATTTTCTAGATGGGAGAATGAATATATATGTGGGATTTTATTTTTTATTTTTATAATTAGGAGGTTTTAATCTCCTGAATCTGGAATCAGACTTTAATCACACAATTAATTATGATCATCCTTAGTAGAATCGAACCTAGAACTTCAAAATGATTTTGTCACCTCTCCACGCTAGGCCACCAACTAGTGAATAAATGTATATGTGTTTGCATCTGGAAATATTTATTTATATTGATATAATAATAAATCACATATAAAAATTTGATGCTTGAAATTAATGAACCATGTCCATATATACACACACGTATATATGTGTGTATATTGTTTCACTATGTCAACTTGGATAGGAAGATATGCGAATCCACCATATTATTTAAATTTTAGGGTTGAACCATTTACGTCATATATCTTGATTATACCAATCTATTAAGTATTTAATGATTTGGAGGATCGTATACATAATCAGTCTGCATTCCACGTATAAAACGTGAGTATTAATCACTTTGATCTAAAAAATATTAATGGACCGTATTACGAAAAGTTTTTTAAAAAAAAATCTAGATATCTGTTAATGTATGTAATCGGGTTCTGGGTCATTATCCTTAACTGGTACACCGGTATTGAATATTTTACAACATTATGGATCAACACACCGGAAATAATATAACAAATCTCCCAAAGTTTATAAGAAAAAAACCCTCTTAATTTCATCGCTAATTCCAAAAGATGGCAATCAATGGATAGTTGATTTCAACATTATTTTAACAGATCGATGAAATTTTCATCAAAAGCTTATGAGGTCAGACCATTCCATTTATAGAATGTAACCAACTCTCTAATTGATGGTTTATGTATATATATAGTAAGTGCACGTAAAATAAATGAAGGCGAAAATTGATGGTTTCAACTTGTATTTTATTTTAAAATTTACATTCATTTCGTTAGCTTTCATCATTTATGACAAAGGGATGACATTGAAGTTACTAAGATTTTTCACTCGCGCCAAACCATAACAGAGGAACAAAAGGGTCTACAGTACCGTTACCGAGGATCACTAAACATTTATTATCATTATTATTATCATCATCATTATTATTATTATTATTATTAGAGAGACGGATAGATGTACAGATGGACCCGGATATCTGAGATTCGCGGGTATTCAGGATACGGATATTCGCTATACAAAGAAATCGAACATGGGTGCTACGAGACCAAAAAGTCGGATTATGGGGTTGGATTCGAGTTTTTTAACGACGACTACTATTTTTGAATACCCAGATATGAATAAAATGATGTTTATATCTTTGATATTATAATGTATTTATAATAATATCTAAATATATTTTCAAATAAAATTACTAAAATACCTTTGAATCCAACAAAAATCAAAGATTTCTTAAATTTTTGGCGGATTCAGATATCTTCAAATAATTGAGTTAAGCGATAGATATCCATACAGCAAATTCTCGGACTTCACGAAAACAAAATACGAGATAATATTTTTCTAAAACTAGACGAAACCGAAGCCAAATATCTTCAAAAATCATGGTACCCAATACATACCCACCCCTCTATATATATATGTTTCATTGATATTTATCTCCCGTGTTTAATAAAGAAACATATATTATAGAGAGATTACATTTTAAACTATATCATATGCATGTTTGCCATACAATATGCTGTTACATTTTACCAGTTCATACTCAAAATATGCTTACACACGGAAATAATATGATCCATATATATCTTTTAGAAGAGGCCTAACAAATTTTTTATACCCATGAAACCATATGATACCGATGAAATTAAACGGTGCGTATGTATTTGCGTAAGTATTCATTTACACATTATAGATAAGAGAAGCGTAATAGATGCATTATAAGAATATATGGATAAGAGAAAGGGCAATAGATGCATTATAAGATGAAGTTTTCTAGGGTTTTTAGAATTGGAAAAAAAAATGACAATCAAGATTTTATATATTTAGTTTTTCTAAAAACTCGTAAAACTATTTTAATAAAAAATCAACTAAAAATCAAAAACTCTCTTTTTTTGGGTTTATAAATGCTACAAAAATAAAAAAAATCAAAAACTGAAAATTAAAATCCAAAAACCAAAATTTAAAATAAAAATATTAAAATAAAAACCATCACCATTCATATCCAAATTCACAAACCAAACTTTTTTGGTAGCATATTTTTTTTTATCAAGGTATTAGGAGTATGAATTTACGAATTTGTGATTCTAACCAAAACTTAGCTTACTCATGAGTTTTGTGTATAAGTTCTAAAAAGCCTTTCGGGATCTGGTGTAGTGGTTAAAAGACCCATGATTCTCTAAGGGGTCATGAATTCGATTCCATTCTCCAGTGAGTCTGTCATCCTTTGGGTGGTTTACCTGTTCCACGTGGTTTGTAGGCTATTACGTGGAACCAGAGGGTTTATCACCGCGCCCGAAGAACTGTGGTTGGATTCCGGCTGTTACCAAAAAAAAAATATTGAGTTTGAACCGTCTATGGATTAATCAGCTTACGCATGAGCTCCACAAGGCATAAATGAGAAAGACGCCTTCCAAACCCCATGGCATGGATGGGTCCATGCCCCCCCTCTCACCGTCCGTCTTATTGAAGTGCCACGGATTTTTGCCACGTGTCGCTATCTTCATCACCCGTGCACGTTTCCTCTTTGGCATGCGTGGACCGTCATGCATCGGATCCCTTTTGTTCTCTAACAAGGTTGTATGTGTGTAGTTTGGTACAAGTGACAAATAATATATATATATATATATTTGTATAATATAATATAATTTTAAACGGTGGACTTTATAATTGTTTACTATTTTCAATTTCATCATGATTTTTTTTAAAACGTGATTTAAAAAAAATAAAAATAAAAATAGACAGTCGATGTACGTATTTACTCGCTATTTTAAACACATGTAATACCATTTTACAGTATGTATTATGAGACTAATTAATTGGTGAATGCATTATTTGCACATTCTATTAATTATCAGAAAAAAAATAATATAACAGAACATTGAATCGAGCATGTAGTTTGTTGAAGAATATTCGCACTTTCAAGTAAAATAATTGCGCTGAATGAACGTAATTAATTGAATAAACAGAAAGTCCATGCACTTTTTTTCTCTCTACATGACTACGTTTTTTAATTGAATAATACTAATTCTCGATCGATTTGCACTATTTTTGTTTTATTAGCATTGGTTTAGAGATTAATTAAATGGACCCCTATTTAAAATTTTGATTGATTTTGATTAGACATGTAATCATGAGAATGCGCCCAACACATGTTTTCTGTTAAATTCTTTTGCCATTTGTTTCTTTACCTCCGTGTTTTTCTTATATGAAATATGGATTATGATAGGTGGATAAATAAATTATGGATTATAATATAAAAGAGAAAATATTAAAATTAACATTCTATTTAATTGATCTAAACTTAAATAGTTCAACAGGTGAAACGTGACATAAAACATCTGTTCTGTCCCGAATTCGAATGTCAATTTAAAAAAAGAGAGTATATAATCCAAATCACATGTCTGGTTTTTGATTCCGAAATTAGTTTGGATATCAAGTTATTCAAAAATAATTATATTAATTGAATTTAAATGAAATAAAATTATGTATTAGGATCGAATTAACCAAATCTAGAATGTATGTAAGTTTGTGTGGCCAAGTCTCTTGTCTTGACCGGGTCAAAGAGCTGTTTTTGTGGACCTTTAAATACATTTTTTTCAATAGTTATTATATTTAGAATATTTATTTGTACACTATATGTTTATTAAATGTTAAACCATTTTGTGGATCGGGATTAGTCTGGGCCCTTTGGATCTGGGATTACCCGATTATCAAAAAAAAAAAAAAAATGTTAAACCATTTGTTATATCATAATTTTCTACAGGAGTTACAGTTTTTTGCTTCTGTGTATTTCAAAGTTGGCCCTACAGTTTTTGTCTGAGTGTATATGTATATTTGTTAGCAAAATCGTTTGTAATCAATTTTTCCCCGAAAATGCCAATAGCACGTGTCGCATTACCATTAGCTCTCAAGATAAGCTCCAGCTACCAGCCTATACATATATGCACACACACATATATGTTATATGTGCCGTCTTTTTGCCCGAAACCGCATTACGACGTCTGTTCTCAGAGGCTGAAGACAAATCCATCAAAGACGAAGATCCCCAAATCCTTCTGCAGCTTTCATGGTTTCTCCAAACCCAAACCCTGGAGGCGACTTCTATTTGGATCCCACAGGTATGACCTCGTCCAGCCTCGGCCCTTCCCCCGCCGCCGCAACCACCACCACCTCCTCCGCCGTGGCGGCGGGTGAGACGGCGACGGAGGATCCCAGCAAGAAAGTGAGGAAGCCCTACACCATCACCAAGTCCCGAGAGAGCTGGACCGAGCCCGAGCACGACAAATTCCTCGAAGCTCTTCAGTTGTGAGTCGAATTTTTCTCCATCATTTCTCGTTAATGCCCGAAATATTTCGGTTCTAGTTGCTTTAGAGCTTCGATTCGACAAGTTTAGTCGCAAATTTTCTGGATTTGGGGTGAATAAGAACAATCCTGTAGTACTCGGCGAGATTATTGGTCAGAACGATTCGGTATTCGATGCTCGGCGTCAATGAAAATCGGGTTTTCGAAAATGTTTGCGAGTGGAGTTAGATTCTTCATGAAGTTCGAATTGGAATTCGGTGGATAGGTAGAAGATGTGATTAGGGCATGTGACGTCATGTGGTTTGAGTTTCGTTCCACTCTCATTTTTTGTTATACAAACAAAATGTGTGACGCCAATGATGTGAAGAGAAAATTAGTTCCAATACGTAATCCAAATATGTAGCAGCTAGTATCGTTGGATGGTGGGTCAATGTCTTCATACTTAGAGGAAACAGATCTATGGGTGTGTTATGAGACAGTAAGGATGGGAAGCCTTGAAGATGCCATCATTGCCATGAAGATTTGTTGAGATGCTTCTTCGTCTAGATATGATTCTGTGTTGCAAACACAAGTTGGAAGCTTTAACCTTTCTAAGAGAGCAATTGAACTTGTTGAGGTTATAGAGGAAATGTTCTAGTGGAGGCTGTTAAATGTTCTGTTCTCTTGCTTATGTCGTGTATACTCTATTGAATTTGTTAACAAGAGGATTGCATGCAGCCTACACCCATTTGTTTCTCATTTTGACTTGATGTTTTATCCTTTTAGGTTTGATAGAGACTGGAAGAAGATTGAAGCGTTTATTGGGTCAAAGACAGTGATACAGGTGCAGTAAAATGCAAACTATCTTTTGAAATGGTAGATTTGTAATGTGTAGCGCATATCACTTTTGAGTTTTAGGACTTGCTATAAGGCCACACATTTTCTGTCTGTTGTGCTTGTTTGTGCCTTATGTTTTCTTTCTTTTGGGCTTCCTCTGTTTCCGTGGATCGGTGTTGTCTCCTCTTCTCTCATTTGATATATGTACGAATGTTTTCATTTAAATCCTTTTGTCTGAGAAACTATTTTTAGATTTATTGGAAGTGATGATGGCTCTTGTTTTCATGACTTGATCAAATGTGATCTTCAGTTCATCTCATCAAAGAGTGGTGGTATAATGGTTGAAGAACAAAAGAATTTGTCGAACTCCATTGCCAAATTCAGAAACAATGCTGTTTCTTACATGGAAGTTCTTTAGTTTTGCAGATCAGAAGTCATGCTCAGAAATACTTTCTTAAGGTACAAAAGAGTGGAACGGGTGAACATCTCCCTCCCCCTCGTCCTAAGAGGAAAGCTTCTCATCCATACCCACAGAAGGCTCCCAAAAATGGTGAGGAGCAATAACTGCAAATCGTTTCTCAAGTTATGGCATTATGGATTTCATGGAAATTATATTGATGTCTTGTTGGCATGTGCAGCACAACCCCAGGCCTCAGGGTCCTTAAAATCAACACCTGGTCCCAGTGAACCGGGTTTTATGTTTAGGCCTGAGTCTTCTCCAATGCTGATGAATTCCGAAAATTCTGCTGATGTTGCCCCTTCATGGACAAATAACAACGTACAAACGATTAGCTTTTCACCTGTCGCGAAAGGTATTCTTCTCCTTAATATTCATATTGCTGTTACATGTCTAAGTCACTTAATAGAAATCGTTCCCTTGAATCAATCTTGATGCATTACATCTTCTTGCAGGATCAGTAGCGACTAACAACTGTTCTAGCAGCTCCAAAAATACTCCAAGAACGCTAACTAACAAGGACACAAATGACCAAGGCTACCACGCCCATTCATTAAGAGGTGGGCATTGTTGATATTCTCCTTTTTCATCTTACTTACAATATTTTTTTTTACCATTCTTTACCTGACAGCTTCATTTTTGTTTATCAGTTTTACCAGACTTTGCCCAAGTGTACAACTTCATCGGCAGTGTGTTCGACCCATATGCCACCGAGCATCTGCAGAAGCTGAAAGAGATGGATCCCATAGATGTGGAAACAGTATGATACCCGTGCTGCTACTCATTAAATTTGGTGAATCTCTCACTGTGCCTTGTTGAACGCGTAGCCCTGCTAATCTTGTTTGCTGTTTTTGCCTCATAATGCAGGTGCTGTTGCTAATGAGAAATCTATCCATTAATCTCGCTAGCCCAGATTTCGAGGATCATGTAAGTATCATCTTCCACAACCAATCAGAGTTAATTGTTGGTTCTGTTGTGTGCAATGATCAGAACGTCTAAACTAAATATGATCATTTTCTTTTTTAATGTGGTGGCAGAGACAGCTGCTTTCTTGCCATGACATTAGCTCCGAGACAGCTGATCATGTGGGTGGAACAAGTAAAACCTTAAACAAGGGAAAACCAGAGATTTCAACTTGATTTTGCAGGAATCGATCGGTACCTTCTTGTTTGTAAGTTTTGTCCCCTCTCTATGGCGCCCCTTCTAAATTGTGGTAGACGACACACACCAGGTGAAGGAAGTGAACATTAAGAGGGGCAAATATGGTATCACATCTCCCCGGTTGATGGGGCCAGGATTGCTGTTTTGTGCAGCTCTGGTTTTTTTGCTGTGCATAGGATTTATATATACATATATATATATATATATATGTGATAGATGTATAGTGTTGTCAGCTAATAACCCCCTCCAATTTTCTGAAGGGGTTTTTTGAAAACTGTGCAGTCTCTTGGGGTCAAATCAGAGAAGTTTTGTTTTCAGTGAGACCGAAGGGATTAAAGCTTAGAAAAGGGTCTTGTTGCTGCATAGCTGAGAATGATTCCTGGCCATGTAAACACTGTGGTTGTGATTGCGATTAAAGTGTGGAGATTGCAAGAGTTGTTCCTCGGCATATGAAATGATGGACAATGAATCTCTGTCTTGTTTCTGGGTTTTTGTTTCTGTCTCCTCCTAAGGTGAATTGTCGGTTCTTGATGCTGAAGAGTCCAAGGATTTGATCAAGACAATAGGGTTTAGGAACTGAATGGAGGATTAGAGAGAGATCTTCCAATGCATCTTGTGGGGTTGGGCACTTCCCATGTAATCCTTGCTTGTCGAGATTGGGAATCCAAGTTTCGTATGTCCAGGAGGTACGGCGTGGGCTAAAAGATGCGAGGTGTCGGTGCGGGGGTTAAGGCGAGGAGGTCGGTGGAAAAATCGTTGGTTATGCCCTTGTGGATCTTACTTAACTACTGCGTGTGCCACCCACCCAAACGAATATACTCTTTGGCCAATTGGAGCACGACGCGTGGAAGATCATGCTTCACTACGGGATGCCACGTGGTGGGAGATGAGAGCCACTACTATTATGGTCAGGGAATGATTTGGTAAATCCTAGAAAAAGGCCCATCGCCGCATGGTCGTGTAAATGTTCTTTTCATGTCCTAGAACCCGACAATTTCTTGTTTTCCCCTTTTTTACCATCGCTCTTCCCATGTTATTACGTTTATGCCATTGCATAAACAATATACCTACAAATACATATCCAAGAGAATCATATATTGCTTAAAAAATATAATTAACTGTTGTAATATTTAATAATATGTCAACAGATACATGCTTAGAGCATGAACTCGTGATTTGAGTATTAGCAATGTAAGACGTAGGTTGTATTGTGTACAGTATGTATATGTATATGCATGTATGTATATATTATGGATATGGATTCCGACGTTTTTCAACGTGTAGTCCGAAGGTTTATTTTTCAAATCGAAGACAAAAAAATTTTGAAAAATTATTAATTTTTTGGAAAGAAAAAATTGAGAATTTTAAAAAGGGAAAGGCCATGATCGAGATTGTGGTCTTGGTGCATTTAATTCTCTGCCACTTTCCCAGTTCACACCGATCTCTCTCTCTCTCTCATAATAAACCTCAGACGAAGCGGCTCGCCGAGCTCCTTCCATGGCGGCTGGTCTCTCCGTCTCCGTAACGATCAAACCACTCCTCCGCTCCTGCTCTACTTCCGACTTCCGCCGTCTCCACCACCACCCGATATCGGCCACCGTCTTCGCTCCCCTTCCCCGGCTCCGCACCTCCTTCGCGCAGCGGCGGAGTTTCGCCGTCTGCTTCGTCGTGGAGGACCAGCGACAGAGCTCTCAGATCGAAAGCCCGCGAGACGAGGGAGCAAGCCCCGTCGACGCCGAGCTCCTGGCTTCGCGATTGGCGGAGAAATTGGAGAGGAAGAAATCGGAGAGGTTTACGTATCTCGTAGCCGCGGTAATGTCGAGCTTCGGTTTCACGTCCATGGCTGTTTTAGCTGTTTACTACAGATTCTCCTGGCAAATGGAGGTGTAGAGACTCGTAAACTTTCCTTCGGGATTTCGAATTCCATTTTCCTCCGATTTTGCGTTTTGGTTTTCAAATTTTAAAATTCAAATTCGTTGGTTTTCTCGATCGTAGGGAGGTGAGGTGCCGATGTCGGAGATGTTCGGTACATTTGCTCTCTCCGTTGGTGCTGCTGTAAGCTCCAATTTCATCTGTGTTTTCCCTCCAAATTCCAATTCCACTTTTTTTTGGGGATTCGTTTCAGTGTTTGAAGAAATTTTCTCTATATATCCATAATCATCAATCTGTACATGGCTTTATACAGAAAAGAATAACAAATTCCTAACAAACTTCTAACAAATTGTGGAGAATAAAAAGAAAAATGAAGAAAACGAAAACTGAATGTCGTCTTCGGGTTTGTTACGTTCTCAGCTTTCTTCTGGGCTTGACCTTACACAGACTGGGCCATTTTTAATGATTGGGCCCGTGTATATCTGTGATACGCCCCCCTCAAGACGCAATCGGTAGATAGAGGCTTGAAAGATGAAGCTTACGCAAAAGAGCAGAAAACAGAGCAGGTTGCATCTGTTTGGTAAAGAGGTCGGCCAACTGATTGTGTGAGGAAACATGGAGCATCTTCAGAAAACCCGATTGAAGTTTCTCCCGTACAAGGTGACAATCAATATCAATGTGCTTTGTCCGCTCGTGAAAAACCGGATTTGAAGCAATGTAGATGGCCGATTTGTTGTCACAGTACAGTGTTGCAGGGCCAGAAGCAACAACGTGTAAATCACTGAGCAAATTATGTAACCAGACAAGCTCGCAAGTTACGTTTGCTAGGGATCTATATTCGGCTTCGGTGCTACTACGTGAGACGGTTGTTTGCTTTTTAGCTTTCCAGGATATAAGAGACTCACCGAGAAAAACACAGAAGCCCGAAGTCGATCGTCTAGAGTCGGGGCAGGAGGCCCAATCAGCATCTGCAAAGGCATTCAGACGAATGTCAGATGTGGCTGAATACAGTAGACCTTGGCCAGGATTTCCTTTTAAGTAGCGCACGACACGTTGAGCAGCTTGAAGATGAACTGTGGTTGGACAAGAGAGAAACTGACTCAGCTTGTGTACGGCGAAGGTAATATCTGGTCGAGTGAGTGTGAGGTACAGAAGTCTGCCAACTAGTCGTCGATAACTAGTAATGTCTGACAAAGGTTCTCCCAATTCTTTTGTCAGACGAGAGTTGGGATCTAGCGGAGTGGAAGCTAATTTACAGGCGAGTAAGCCGGCATCCTCAATCAATTCCAGGCAGTATTTGCGTTGGTTGACAGCGATGCCGGTCCGCGAACGAGCAATCTCCAATCCCAGAAAGTACTTCAAACAACCAAGGTCCTTGATGTGAAAAGTTCTGCCGAGAAGGCTTTTTAAATTCTGGATAGCAGAATCATCATTGCCAGTGATGATGATATCGTCTACATAGACGAGTAAAGCCACAAAAGATGAACCAGACTTTCGAACAAATAGCGTGTGATCAGCTTGTGACTGAGTAAAGCCGGCGGCCGTCAAAACTCGGGCAAAGGTAATATACCACTGCCGTGAAGCTTGTCGCAAACCGTACAGGGATTTATGTAAACGACATACAGCGTTTGGGGGAAGGGAGTCACCTGTAGCAGCCGTGTAGCCCTGAGGTAGAGCCATGTAGATTTCCTCATCGAGTGTGCCGTGGAGAAACGCATTTGTCACGTCTAGTTGAGATAAAGACCAGTTTTTGGCAGCCGCTAGAGCGAGAATCAGTTTCACAGTGACCAGCTTGGCAACCGGAGAAAAGGTATCCAGAAAATCCACGCCTTCTTGTTGTGTAAAGCCCTTCGCAACCAACCTGGCTTTAAACCTCTCAACAGAACCATCGGACTTGCGCTTTATCCGATATACCCAACGACATCCGACAGTATGCTTGCCAGGAGGTAGAGAAACGATGGACCAGGTGTTGTTTGCAGCTAGGGCAGCGAGCTCAATGTCCATGGCACGCCTCCAGTCCACATTAGTTATAGCCTCCTTGAAGGATCTGGGTTCGGAAATGATGGTGGAATTCAGGATGAATTTCCGATAGGGATCAGAAAGGCGAGAATATGTCAGGACGGAGGATATGGGATAAAGGGTTTGTGTAGAAGAGGATAATGGTTTGGCGGAGGAGAGATAGCAATGATAATCTTGGAGGTAGGTAGGTTGTTTTGTAGAACGTTTGGGCCTGGTAGAAACTTCCAAATCTAATTCTGGGCCAGGAGAGGAATGAGTTGGGCTTGGATTTAAAGAAGGTTCTGGGCTAGTATTTAAAAAAGGGCTTTGGCCAAATTCTAAAGGTGGGTTTGAAGAAATGGATATCGGTAAAGGAAGAATGGATAAAGGAAATATTGTATCAGGAATTACCGATATATCAGAATGAAAAGGGTATATGTTCTCATGAAACTCGACGTTTCTGGAAATAATGACAGAATTGGATTCCAAATCAAGGAGTTTATAACCTTTGTAACCGGAGGGATAACCGAGAAAGACCGTCGCTCGTGCCCTTGCTGAAAACTTATGGCGCTCTGAGGCAAGGGTGGATGCATACGCCAGACAACCGAAAGCTCGGAGATAGGAATAGTCTGGAGCCTTGCCTTTTAACAGTTCATACGGAGTCTTGTTGGACAGAAGCGGCGACGGAGTCCGGTTAATCAGGAAGACCGCAGTTCTGATACACTCCGACCAGAAAGATAGAGGAATGTTTCCTTGAAACAGCAGCGCCCTAGCAACATTCAGAATATGCTGATGTTTGCGTTCGACCACGGAGTTCTGTTGCGGGGTTTGAACGCAGGAGAAATAGTGTAGAATCCCTTTAGATTGAAACAGAGAGGCGAAGCTCAATTCCGGCGCATTGTCTGATCGGACTGCCTTGACCTTTAGTGCATACTGAGTTTCGACCATTGTCAAAAAATTAGGCACAACCTGTAGAACCTCATTCTTATGCCGCAATATATACCCATGTCACCCGAGAATGATCATCCACTATCGTTAGAAAATACCTATACCCGTCATGAGAAAGATGAGAAAAAGGCCCCCAAACATCAATGTGTATAAGATCGAACAAAGATTTTGAGATATTATTGTTCGAAGGAAAAGGGAGACGACGTTGTTTGGCGAGGTGACAAACGCGACAGTGTGAAGGAGAGCTAAAATTTGAAAGAGAAAGCGTTTGTGACATTGATCGCAACTTGTGAAATGACAAATGACCAAGTCTAGAGTGCCATAGTGAAGTATCAACATAAACAGAATTGATAGAAAATGAGGGGATAACAGGTTTGAAATCGGACTCGAGGAAATAGAGATTGTGCAAGAGCTTAGCCCTCCCAATCGTCGATCCCCGAGAACGTTCCTGAATAGAGCAAAAATCAGAAGAGAAAATACAGGAAAGATTAGTGCCGCGGAGAAGAGCACTGACACTGATAATGTTGAAGGTAAAAGACGGGACATAGAGTACGTTCAACAGCAGTAAATGATCATTCAAGGGGACACGTCCAGCTTGTGTAACCGAGAGTTGAAGACCATTAGGCAAAGTCACGGTACTGGGAGCAATGGGAACAATCTCAGAGAACAAATGTTTGTTAAAACAAACATGAGCTGAAGCACCGGAGTCCAAAATCCAGGAATTATAAAACTCCCCTGAAACAGATGATGTGTTGCAAACAAAGGCAGAGAGGAGATGAGTATTACCAGTGTCTGGATCAGAGGCAGGAGCGCCGTTCTCGGTGATGGTAGCATTGGATGATTTGAGGCGATTATTGATCTTAGAACAAAGATCATGAATCTGGTTCAAAGAAAGCTTATCCACATCAGCAACACAACCAGTATCCGTGGCAACATTTGCAAAGTTGTTGGAAGGCTTGGTCTGTGATCGAGCTGAAGGACGAGGAGATGCTGTTATACCAGATTTCGGAGCTCGGTAACCAGGTGGAAAGCCGTGAAGCCGATAACATTTCTGGATTGTGTGGCCATACAACCCACAATGAGTGCAAAGCGGTCGCTGCTTCCCTTTGAAAGTAGAGCTAGAAACAGCAGATATAGCTTCGGGCAAGGAAGGAGAAGAAGTTTGAAAAACAACCGCGTCAGAGGGCTTCACAGGGCGAATAAGGCGCTGTTGCTCTTGCTGAAGAACCAGGTTGTAGGCGGTTTGAAGATCAGGAGGTGGATCCATGGCAAGAATATGACTACGGACTCCCTCATATTCGTCATTGAGACCAAAAAGGAAATCAATGACGAAGTCACTTTCATCTTCATCATTCCATCTTTTTGAAAGAAGACATGTGCAGCGGCCACAAGTGCACGAGTGATTGGCTCGGATGGACTTAAACTCCTTCCAAACGGCAAAGATGGCAGTAAAGTAGGAGGCGACATCCATCGAGGCTTGACGCAAATCGCGCAATTTCTGCTTGACCCTATATTTCCTTGGGGCACTGCTTTGTTGATAGCTCTTCGACAGAAACAACCACATGTCTCGAGCCGTGTCAACATAAAGCAAGCTTTGAGCAATATGCTCAGCAACCGAGTTCATGATCCAACCACCCACAATGGCGTTGTTTCGAACCCAGAAACGATGAGTTGGATCGTCCTCCGCGGGCATGGGTAGAGAACCGTCGACGAAGCCAATCTTGTTCCGACCCTCGAGAGCCATTCGGAAAGCACGAAGCCAAGAAGGAAAATCTCCCACGCCAGTCAGGGGTTTTGTGACGATAACCACCCCACCATGATCGGAAGTCGAGAGATAATAAGGACTGTCAAAATCGGGTGTATACGGAGCTGGAGGAGCAACCGCAACAGCCGGAGCAAGAACAGCGGGAACAGGGTCTGCCATGGAAGATGCAGGGAAAACCCAGAAAACCCAGAAAGAAAGTGCAAAAAGAAAAAATCAGAGAAAAAGCTCTGATACCATTTCAGTGTTTGAAGAAATTTTCTCTATATATCCATAATCATCAATCTGTACATGGCTTTATACAGAAAAGAATAACAACTCCCTAACAAACTTCTAACAAATTGTGGAGAATAAAAAGAAAAATGAAGAAAACGAAAACTGAATGTCGTCTTCGAGTTTGTTACGTTCTCAGCTTTCTTCTGGGCTTGACCTTACACAGACTGGGCCATTTTTAATGATTGGGCCCGTGTATATCTGTGATAATTCGTAAATTTTGTTTTGGTTCTTACAAAAAATGTTTCATGAATTTGGATGAATGAATCAGGTGGGCATGGAATTTTGGGCAAGATGGGCTCACAGAGCTCTCTGGCATGCTTCTTTGTGGCATATGCATGAGGTACTTGTTTCCCCCTTTTTTCTTCTGTTTGGTTGCCGAGAAAATCTGAAAAAGTTGACGTAAAGCAACCATCAAGCCTGTTTCCTGTATTTGTTTTAATTCCTCTGCCCTGCAAGAAGAAAAAAAAACCCAGTTTTATCGTTCATGTTCTTAAATGCAACGAAATCGTCTGTGTTTGGCTGCTGAGAAAATTCGCAATCTGATTTTCTTTCTCCTTGGAAGTCTCACCACAAAGCGAGAGAAGGGCCGTTTGAGCTAAACGACGTGTTCGCCGTCATAAACGCCGTTCCTGCGGTTGGTCTCTTCTCCTACGGCTTCTTCAACAAAGGCTTCGTCCCTGGTCTCTGTTTCGGCGCTGTAAGTAGAATAATTTATACCGAATATGATCCCTTTTTGTTCTCTCTTTCTATTTTAAGACAGAGAAATGTCCTTTTCCATTTGAATCGTGATACGGTCACGAAACGGCGTTATGAGGGAACCGCGTTTTGCGTTTGCAGGGGCTTGGAATAACAGTGTTTGGGATCGCATACATGTTCGTCCACGACGGTTTGGTTCACAAGAGATTCCCTGTCGGCCCCATTGCGAACGTCCCTTATTTCCGTAGAGTTGCTGCAGCCCACCAGGTTTTTTTTTTTCAAAAAAATAAGTTTTTTTTTTAAAATTCCAGAGTCAGAATATATATTATAAGCCTTACATATTTGTTAGATAAACAAAAATATTATATAATATGGGATCGGATTGTGTTGTGTTTTCAGCTACATCACACAGACAAATTCAAGGGAGTGCCATATGGGCTGTTCCTTGGACCAAAGGCAAGTTCTTTTATTGTAATTAGATTCATGTCTCATTAATGTATTATTAATTTGCTATTACATTTGAGATTTTCTCCATGTTATCTTGTTTTTTTAAATGCAGGAGGTTGAAGAAGTGGGCGGAAAAGAGGAGCTAGAGAAGGAGATAAGTAAGAGAATCAAATTGTGCAAGAAGGGTTAGGGTTCTTGATTAGGGTTAGGGTTCTTGATTTGGAGGAACCCATTTTGTTTTTTTTTTTGTAAAATAATCTACCTTGTTTTAAAAGAAAAATGTATACAAAATCATTATTAGTGTTATAGCAATCAAGAATCAATTAGCTTTTTTTTTAATAATATATGTAGGAAGTGGGGTTTAGGGTTTGGCATCTTCGCAGATTGATGCTTTGTGGCTGTTTGCGTTTTAAGTTGGATAATTATACAATCTAAAAAAAAAAGGTTGGATAATTATACCCAACTAATTTTGGATTTAAATGTAAACATTTGGGATATCGACCGACGAATATTTAAAAACCGACTATTAGAGAGTAACGAATTCAAAACTTAAGTTCAAAATCTTAAACCCAAATCCAAATCTTTCGTAAATCAAATTCGAATACCCACTTTTTATTTTCTTTTTTCATCTATACCAATAAAACAATAAAACATATTCCACTTCTTCGCCATACAAATTTCATCTCTATTTAAATTTTTTTTGATAATATGAAAGTTACCCGACTACATCTTACAGAAAATCGAAAAAGTCTGGATAAATACCCGTCTCCACACTTAGATTTGAACTCAGGATGAAGATATGTTTTGCATGTTCTCTCACCACTAGACCACCCAAAGTTGGATTCACTATTTAAAACTTATTATTTTAAAAATATAATATCTGAAATAATATTGACAATATCTATATATAAATCTATTGCAACAAATTATTTTAGATGGAATCCAAATTAGTTATTTGACATCGTCATGAAACCTCCCGAAAAAAAGGGGGAAATTCGATATTTTACAAACATTATTGGGGTGTTGTGCGACACGCATCATAAAGTGCAACGACCCATAGAACAAAGTTACACGTAGCAGGTCCAATATATAATATATTCACAAGTGGATACACATTATACAATAAGACCCTCATGCTATGCCCATTCAATTTCAAAATTCAGAGTGGCAAATCATACCCTCCAAAAACATTATCAAATTGAATTCATGGAATGTGACGAATTGGATCATACAATAATTTAACTAATTCACTTAATACAATAGGCTAAATAGTCCATACATGATATAATATCGTATATATATGAAACTAAAAACTTAAATATATATAATTTACCATACACTCAAATAAAACTTCACTTTAAATTTTATACATATTTTTCTATAATTTGGGAGAAAAATTATATAATGATTTTTATATATTTTTAACCACTAAGAGAGTAACAGATTATATTATTTTTCAATAAAGAATAAACTGCAAAAAAAAAAAATATATGAAAATGCATAAGCGGGTGAAGTGATAACGTAGCGTGAGGGCATTATTAGACTATGACATAAAAGGGCAGCGTAAATTCGATGATAACTTCCATTGCCGAAACACTAGAAATAAATATTTGTCATTTTATTGCAGAAATTAGGAAGTCGGTCCAATAACGGACACTCCAATATCTAGACCCTTACTATTATAAAGTTTTTCTAAATAGAATAAAATGTATGTTTCAACGTGGACGAATTTTATGGCTCGTGGCCTCTCCATCCCAACAAAAATAAAATCCTTTTTTTGTTTGACGTGTATCGCCAAACTTGAAACGTGTCATCATGTTCGACGTGTAAGTTTGTTGCCTTAGCGCGAGTGATTGGCGGCTCGGCTCTAACGTATGTTCGTGGAGCATCCTTCGCGTGATCGTTATTGTCGAGCTTTGCGGGATCAAGTGATCGTGTAACGTTTTGATCACTTGAAGTTTCCGAGAACTGGTCTTCGGTTGATTGCTCTGAGAGATCCATGTCCGCTCATAGCTCCGTGCGTTCCCGCTCCATATCCAAGCACTTCTGATCCGGCTCCAGCTCCAAGCGTTCCCGTTCCGGCTCCATGTCTTCATCATTCCCTCCCTCTTGAGAGGTTTTCGCCCACGAAAAATCAGAACTTGCAAGATAAGGACGCAAATCAGTAACATTAAAGGAATTAGAAATGGTATACTCACCGGAAAGCTCCAGTCGATATGCGTTGTCGTTGATGCGCTCGATGACTCAGAAAGAACCGTCTCTGAGTGGTGCTAATTTGGATTTTCGTTTGTCGGAAAAACGCTCCGGTCGGAAGTGCAACCAAACCCAATCGCCCTCGTTAAAGGTCATAGCCTTTCGACCCTTATTGGCTTGTCGGACGTATTGTTCGGTTTTCTGAGCAATATTGTCACGAACCCGCTGATGGAGTTCCTTTATGAACTCGGCCCTTTGTTCCCCGTCAATGTTCAGCCATTCGTCACTAGGTAATGCTACAAGGTCCAAGGGTGTGATCGGATTGAATCTATATACGGTTTCAAACGGAGAATGACGAGTCGCAGAATGTGTAGCTCGGTTGTATGCGAACTCGATGTGGGGAATACATTCTACCCAATTGCCGAAATTTTTTCCGATGGTCACTCGTAGGAGAGTCGATAGCGTGCGATTCACGACCTCGGTTTGGTCATCCGTTTGAGGATGACACGTCGTGGAGAAAACGAACTTAGTACCGATCTTCTTCCATAGAGTCCGCCAAAAATGGCTAAGGAATTTTGAATCTCGATCGGATACTATCGTTTTGGGAATACCGTGCAGCCTCACAACCTCACGAAAGAAGAGATTGGCTATGTTTTTGGCGTCATCCGTTTTTGCACATGGTATGAAGTGAGCCATCTTCGAGAATCGATCGACCACTACAAATATAGAGTCCTTGTGTTGTAGCTTCGGAGACCGAGGACAAAATCCATCGAGATGTCTACCCAAGGCTGGGTCGGGATCGGTAATGGCATATAGAGACCATGAGGATGTGTTTTTGATTTAGCTCGATGGCATTCGATGCACTTAGCACATTTCCTCACATCTCGCTTAAGATGCAACCAAAAGAAGTGTTCTTGAATGACGACCTGTTGGGATTCTTGGGATCTCTACAGCGAATCTAATTCCTAAGAGATCGGTTCTAGGGTTTGCGCAGCGGATGTAAAACAAAAATTTATAAAACCCTAAAACCAAGCATGCATGATTTTATAGAAACGTTAGAATGCTTATCTCAATCGATCCGCGACCTGTATCAAAGACAGGAAGATTACCTCGCTCTCTACACGTATCCACACGGCGGAAATGGTTCCAACGGTTGGAACTCGTCTGCTAGGACCGAAGAACACCTTCTTCTTTGCGTAAGGATTTCATGGATCTAAATCTGGGTTTTTCGATCTCAAAACTCTCTCAAAAAGGTCTGAAATCGAGCTCTCCCCCTTAGGAGGCATTCCCCAAAGTTAATAGACCTTAAAACCCTAATTAGAGTGAGGTAAGGAAATCCTGACCCCTGCACCGATCGGTCTGGAGCTTTTAACGCGTGGACCGGTCGGTCCAGACCTCTAGACCGATCGGTCTAGAAATTTTTCGGACCAAACGACGTTTGCTCGTCACCCCTGGATCGATCGGTCCACGTGTCTGGACCGATCGGTCTGGGCTGGCTGGACCGATCTGTCCAGGCCTCTGGACCGGTTGGTCTGGCCTCTGCTCCACCGGAAATTTCTCGTCTTTTCCCGCGCGTTTGTCATTTCCTATGTGTGTGACCCTGTAGACTCATCCGGTGTAGCAGTATAACCCGAAATCTCCATTTCGGATATACAAGTCATAGGTGGTCTCTAGCAAGACACTATGACTACCTATTTCAAATAGAGTTCTTTCGTGATCTTACGAACGTCGGTGATGATTCCGGTTGATGATCCTTTTGTATCACGATATTATATGTCGAACATAAGGCTTGGAGAAGCCACCTTATCTGATTTGACTGATTTCTCGTTCACTGAGTTCGACTGTACGAAATAGATGACGCTCGTCTATAGTGTGGCCACATATTTCTACAGTCTCGCTCACACGAGGGGCCCAGCGATATCTCTCTCTTTTACGAGAGGTACAAATCTCATCTTGACTATCTATAATCCAGATATGATTCGTGTCGTACCTGATACATGCCTTTATAGTCCTCCTGTTACGCAGGACGTTTGACGTATTCAAAGTACGCAACTCCTCATGTTGGATTCCGTAGATATCTCAGGTCATAGGATCCAATCATGGAATCGTCACATGAGATTCAAGTCATGACGCAAGTCCATGTGACAATCTCATGCGGGTCAATCCAGTATTCCGTTCTCCAACGAATACCTGTGATTGTGATCGTATCCAATACCATGATCATCTCTATGATCATCTATCATACATCATACTAGTCTTAGTACATCATTGTTCCCACAATGATATATGACTAGGAAGTTTAGTATTGTTCATAACAATACATGTATTTCATAACATATTAAAGTATGTATAACATGTAATAAATCAAACTCATCCATAAAACCATAGAAATTGCCATAAAACAGTACATCGTAGAGCACTAAACCAACAAGAGCAAACGTAATGATGGCAATAGAACCGCGGAACCTATTACCCTTTAGATGTGACTGATCAGACAAAGAAAAATTAGTGGAGGAGATCATGACAGAAGAGATATTAGTTGCCTTCAACTCCCTTCCAGCTAACAAAAGCCCAGGGCCAGATGGATGTACTAAAGAGTTCTTCGTCGCAGCTTGGGACATAGCAGAACTGGTCTTGATTGAGGTTGTATCTGATTTCTTTACTTCACGGAAACTCTGTCGGGGATTCAACGCTACAACCGTAACTCTGGTTTCGAAAAAGCAATGAGCCGATAAATTGGGGGATTTCAGGCCAATAAATTATTGGTTGTAATGCTCTATGATGATCCGTGATATGATTTTGACTTTTGATCGTGCCAATCTAGGTGAATGGATTTGAGTCAAGTAATAAAAACCTAGACTAAGCCGATTCCACAAAGGTACGGATTCAATGTAGTACTAGGGTCGAACTCAGGGACCGAGAGGTGATGGTGTCGATGGTGATCCTAGTAAGAATAGAGGGCAAGATCGTTGGTTTGTTGGAAAAAACTGTAACTAAAAGTACTGCAAGTTCGGGATTTCACCGATGCTATGGATTATCTAGATAGATGTGGCTGGATTGTAATCTGAGGTCGATTTGGGAAACTCTAGCTCCTATCCTAAAACGCGTCTGGTCAGGGATCTATCGTTCTCTAATCAACGCT